GGCGAGAGGCTTAGCAAGGCTGTAGGAATGGGAATCTAGACAGGAACAGAAGCCACCAAAAGCAAGCAGGGAAAAGATGGCGACCAACTTAACTTAGCTGGCATTTTAGAAACAGAAAAACACCCAAGGCTGGAACAGGTAGGAAGACAAACCTATAGAACTGTCTAGCTAAAAGAAAGGAATGTTTGGAGGAACATGGAGCAAGAAAGGTCACTTTTGTTTCAGTGTTTACAGAAGCCAACATGCTTGCTGAGTCTACAGAGATCAAAGGGCTTGTCGGAATGCTGTCAAACTGTTGCTTCAGGAAGGATTAAAAAATACAAGGAGAAGAAATACTACAGTCCTAGAAGTCTTTTAGCTTCTTCACTTTGTGCCATTAGAGTTTCACTGGCATACTTCTGAAGAAGCTCCATCTTCTTTCTCCGGACAAGAGCCTCCTCAATCTGTAAATAAAAAACATTAAAACACTTAGCCTTCAATTCAGGCCCTGAAACCTAGAAATTCCAGATACAAAGTCAGAAAAAAAGCAGCCAGAGAAGACTGAAAAAAAATTGCTTAATCCACGTAGAACTGGAGGGCACAGTTTTATCAGGCCCAAATAAAAACAGTGCCAAAGGCCACCATTGAGAGAGAGAGAGAAAAAACACTCAAGATTTCACTGCTCTGCCACTGTACTTTAATATGTAAAGTTTGTGAGACTAAAACATTTTCTATTATACATTAAATATGATTAGTTCAGAACTCTGATCAGATTAATTGAATTAGGGTGTGCTAATTTCCCATGACAAGGCTTTTCAATAAGATCCTGATACACAAAATAGCATTACAGCTCTAAAGGCAGACTAAATCCACACCACAACAGATTTTTTAATTAAGGATTTGTCTTAACAAAAATCAACTGAAGCCATGTTTCTAACAAATTTCAGATTAAGCATCCTCAGTTGACCTTATTACATACCCATATTCAAATAGATGCTAACATTTTTCTTTTTGAAATGAAAAGAATCTCTAACAGCAAAACCTGGATCTAAGTTATTCAGAACTTGAATATTGGCTTGGATCAGCCTTTAGTGTTATACAAAACTTTATTTAGAAATTCAGTGATATATTAAAGACTTTCAGGACTCGTCTTGACATTTTCTCTCTCTCAAAAGCCTTCTAAAGAATGAAAAAATTAAGGTCTGTGTTTATCCCAAGATGGTAGCTCTATAGTTACAATTCTTCTTGCTTTACAACTAGAACAATTATTTGATTTTTTTAAAAGAAGTTCTTTGTGAAAGACAAATGACAGTACTGAACACAAAGTAAATGGAATTCTAGCTATATTGATTTGCATCCTTATGGTAAGAGCTTGTTATCGGATCGTGTTTTACAACCTAAGAGGTTCACAATCCTAGTTAATGTGCAGCATTATCTATCATTTTTACAAACTTCACAAGAGTCAGTAACATCTACTCATTCCTTCTGAAAAATTTACAGCTTTTCATAGTATCCCAAGATTAGTTTAATTCCCAGGACGCAACTTGTCAGAATGAAATAATATTATGTATCCTGTTTATAGTTTACCAACTCTAGAGAAAAAAAATGATTTTAAATGATATAATCACATATTTTTGCTGTGATGTGTAGATACATTACTGCTAGGCAAATTGCTTCAAAAATAAAATAGGAACCAAGGCTGTTTTGGAAAATGGCTACTTTATACCAAGCTAAGCAATCAACAATTAAAAGTTATTACAGGGGGCAAAACTAGAAATTAAAACATTGTCACAAATTTGATGAGTCAAAGATAGCAGACTAGGTCTCCCTCTCTTTTTTAAATAATACACCCAAAAAGATTTTCAAAGAAAAAAAACAAACTTATAGAAAGGCAGAATCTCAGAGGAAAGAGAAGCTAGAAGTACAAACAACATTCTGTGCCACAGCACCCCACTCAGGAAGAGGCAAGTGGAGGTAAAGCAATTGAACCAAGATCTCACAGCAAGTTCAGTCAGGGAGAGAACCCAGCTGATCTGTCCAGCAGTTTTTTACTACAACAAGTAGACAACACTTTCTATAGGCTGTCTACCATGACTCACAACCTGTATCATAGTAGTGCCAGTGTTCTCATGTGCCTTTGTTTTTTCTTTTCTTACCTCTTGCTGTGATGGCACAGGGACATGAGCAATAAACTTTTGTTGACCTTCTTCATCTTCTTTTTCTTTGCCATTTTCCTCATCGGACTACAAAATAATATCATATAAAACTGTTTGTTTTTTAGCTTACATCAACAAGACATTACATCTAACCCCACCCACCTGCACTTACAAATTATGCTTGTAAATAAAGGCCTGGAATATGGACAAAACAGGGGACACTTCATTCTATGCCACAATGGGCAAGCACCACATCACCAAGACCTCACTATTTGAAGACCTAAAACTGGGTTGCTCCTTCCATTCTTCTCCCTGTGTATAGATGTAAGACCATGTTTTTATTGTTGCCATGTGGCTTTCAGTGGCTGTCACCAGAATGCAAAGCTAGCTGTCACAGGCAGGAAATAGGGGCCTTACAAAGACAGCCAGGTTCCTCTTCCATAAAGTGGTCACTCTTGAGAGCTGTCACTATTTCCCTCATTCACTGGATGGGCTTATGCAGGCAGAGAAGACGGGATACAGCCCATGAGGTCTCAAGCTATGCAACAGCAATAAGAACATACTCCTGCAGCACTGCTGACTTAACAGGAGATGACAAAATAACCTTACTGCAGGGCATCAGTAACTGTAGGTGCAGACAGAAGTCCAGCTCCCTGGTCTAACTCATGACACTTCACAAATTAAACTAACCCTCGCGACCCAACAGACATTAGCTGTTGGGTCGGGAGGGTGGGGAATCAAGCTCCAAATTTGGAGCTGATACAGAGAGGCTTTATTTTTCAGCCTCTTCCCCTAGGACCCCCATCTCCCAGCTACAGTGCTCTCTCAGGATGTGGGGGGAGGGGGTGAAGAGAAGGGAGGGGAGGGTGCTCAGGTTGGTCTTTGCCCAGCCTGCACTGGAGTGGGGAACAGGTAGATTGAACCCCCCTCTCCCCCCCCACCTTGCAGGGGGGGTGGGCAATCCAGCTGACTGGGCAATCCACAGGCTGGGCAAACACGTCCAAGTTTCCTCCCTTGGACAGTGAGGGTTAATTTGTCATGTGATAGGAGCGCTCTGCAGTTGTGTACTTCTGTTAGGGTATGGCTATAGAGTGTTTTCAAGGGGATGATTGCATGACAAACGTAACTTCTGTCTGTGCCTTGTGAGGAGTAACATGCACTTCCCTGCTGGATTGTGAAGGAAACATGGTATCCAACCAGTTCCTCAGACCTTAACCCCAACTTAAATCTTTCTTCTGTGATTCAAAGAAGACAGCTTGAGCAATTCAGTATCAATAAGATAAAATGAAATACTACTGTATTGAAAACTCTACCTACAGAGTATATAGATCTGTGCTTAGAACATTAGCTTTTCAGTTATTTTATTTTAGAGATTAAGAATTTATGTCAGTAGCCAGTTACTAACAGCTGACCCCAAATGGATACTCAAAGTTAGTTGCAACTTTTATCCTAACTATAGGAAAAAGCCTTCTCAGGTTGTCAATTTTTGTTATATTCTATATCTGACTTAAGAGTTAAAAGTCCTATTTGAGTATTTAGTTGTACCATGATACACAAAGAGGGGGGCAACGTACAGCACAGGTGCCACAAGTGGTATGGGTAGCCTGTATGCTGCATGCAGCAGATCAGGAAGGGGGCAGACAGTACACTAGCAGATAGGGCACGAAGCAGAAAGCAGAGCAGTAGAAAGGGCAGGGGATAAGGATTTGAGTGGTAATTGGGGAGGGTGTGGTGCTTAATTTGTGGCATGCCTGTCAAAAAGGCTGGCCCCCACTGCTCTAAGGTGTGCAAAGGAGGGACACACTGTAGTAGTCAATATATTTTTAAGAACAGTGAAGATACTCAAAGCATGCTGCTACTATACAGGAGTAACATTAATTGTCATATTTGCATAGTCTCCCACACCATACCTCATCATCATTGACAGCATAAATGTTTTCTTCCTCCTCTTCCTCTTCTTTATCACCTCTTGCAAGTCGTGCCTCTCTCTCCAGTTTCCATTTCTCCACTGCTTCTGCTATGACTGGTTAAAAAAATTGTGATATTAAGTCAACAAGGTATCCAAGGCATGAGTTGAATCTAGGGTTGATGCTCGCTCTTTACTCCACTTTTTACTGTACTACCCTTGGTCATGCCTTGTAAACAGACTGAACCAGGGACCTCTCAATATAAAAAAATAAGAGCTTCTAACAGTTTATCTGAAGTACCCAGCCTATTAATGTAAAGGCAATAGCAGACCCACACAAATTCAGTAGGGCCACAAGAGATGGACAGAGTTACATTTTTAGCAGGCGTTGCACTGTAACCAGGCTAAAAGCCTTGAGCATGACAAAATGTTTAGGTTGGTTAGAGAACTAGGGGTGTGCCAATAAAGATTTTTGGGCCAATAATTAACCAGCCATAATGGGCCAATACCGATCCAATTGCTGATATGCAGCACAGCAGCTTGGAAAGCAGCATCTGGCTGGCTGCACATACCCCAGGGGAGACATGGGGGTGTGCCCCCCTCGGATCTGCGGGCAGGGCGAGGGTGGGTTTGCCCACTGCATGCTTGGAGCCAGAGGCTGTGCTGGTCTGTTCCTGGTGGAGGCTGAGCAGCTATGGGGTAGGCTACAGCCACCCCAAAATTTGTAACAACCCCCCATAGCCCCTCCTCCCAGCACCGTCCCCAGCATAGCTCAGGATCAACCCCTGCCAGGAAGAGCCCGGTGCCACCCCCGGCCCCAAGTGCACAGCGGGAAGTACACCCTCACCTCACGCACATATCTGGGGGGCACATGCCCCCTTCATTCCTCCCCCAGGGTGCATGCAGCAGCAGGAGCCCCCAACCCTCCCAGACGAGCCATGGCTCTGTCCTGTGCCCCGCTCGGGCAGCGTCTGCCCCTGTCTCTTCCCCTGCCGCAGCCCCACTTCCTCCCTTACCACAGGGGCCTCTATCTGCCTCCCCCACACAGACTTACTGGCCAGATGCTGCTCCTCAAGCTGCCGGGCTGCATTCCTGGCTGCATGTATGCTGTGGCTGCATGCATTCAAGCGGCATTGATCAGTACCGATTCAATATGGACTGATGTATTGGTACACCTCTATAGGGAATATGGTTAGATTACACTCTAGAGCTGTGCTATGGCCATGTCAAGGGACCACTGCTCTAAACAGTTCCCATGCTAGAGGTATTTGTAGTGTAAACGGATATGGAAAGACAGGTTTCTGGTAATAAAGACCTGCTGAATACAGCTTTTTAACCTGAGCAACCACTGTATGGTTAGCCATATCCTCCTTGCCACTTTGCATCATTGCTTCCTACTTTACAGCCCATACCAAGTGAATCAAGTTAACTGGAACTGACTGTAAGACTTAAAATGCTCAAAAAGTGTTGCTGTGTCATTGTACCTGGGACAAAGGCACCTAAAAATCATTAACCCTAGTATAAGATAATGCAAGTATTGCTAATCTTTTTT